GATTTTGGTGAAACGTGTGAGCTTTCTATAACATCATCATCATCATCATCATCATCATCATCATCATCATTATTCTTATTCAGCTCTCTATATTGGACAAACAGGCCAAATCCTATGCCGAAAGATAAATGGACATAAATCTGACCTCAGGAATCATAAGACAGAGAAGCCAGCAGGAGAACACTTCAATCTCCCAGGACATTCAATACAGGATCTCAAAGCAGCTGTCTTATTTCAAAAGAATTTCAGAAATAGACTTGAAAGAGAAGTTGCTGAATTACAACTTATTACTAAACTGAAAACTATGGAGAGACTTGATCTGAATAGAGATATTGGATTCTTGTCTCGTTACACATGCTAAAGCTATTTTTGGTCATCTGCATACTATACCTTGCTTTTTCCTGTAGGACTAATTGAAGTCGTTAACAGTCGTCTACAGGTTTACCATACCCATTGAGTCAACCACCCATCTCCTACTACCCTTCTGGGGGGGAAACCCACCCCACCCTCCCACTATATATAAGGGTCTGGTGACTTCTGTTTCAGTGTATCTGAAGAAGCTAAGGTGCTACTGGACATTTTTTAAAAAATTTTATGTAATTCAATTTATTATTAGTAGTAGTAGTATACCACCCTTTATCCATAGATCCCAGCTTGAGTATATGAGCAACCAGGTTGCCCATTTACATCATGTACAGCTGGGTAAGAAAAATCTCAGGAGTGACTCTAGGGACTCAAGCAGAACTTGAGAGGAAAAATTCCCGTTTCCTCAGGGAGGGCAAGCCCTTTTTTAACATAAGAGTGACCCCTAGTGGCACACCCTAAGAAGTACCCTGTGTTTTCTTTCTCTATTTACTGCCCATCAGCACAATGCATCAACTATTCAGAGTAAAGCTTCTCTCTCTCTCTCTCTCTCTCTCTCTCTCTCTCTCTCTCTCTCTCCCTCCCTCCTCCCTCCCTCCCTTTACCTGGGACTAAGCACCACAGAATTCAACAAGACTTACTTCCAAATAGGGGATATGGGGGAAATTCGATTCAGTTCACAGTTAAAGGCAAACTTCTCAAATTTGCACTTTCCAAAAACAATTTCCTTTGAAATTGGCACTTTGCTTGACTGGAGAGCTGTGTTTCCAAATTTTGCAATGTGTGCAAAAATGCACACATTGGGGTAAAGTGTGGATATAAATGCATTACGGTATATTAGCAGGCATGGCTTGTAAAAATGTGTGTATTTGTCAAAATACAAAAATGTGCTTATTAGAAGAAATGCACACAAATTGTAAAAAAGGGTTTTCCCCTTCTTAATGCAGATTGCTTCAGAAATGTGGAAAAATGAATTTAAGACTGGAGAAATGAGAGAACCACAGACTGACAGATTCATCTATCCCTGCTTCTGAGCAGACCTGGTTTGGATTTCACTGTTAAGTTTCCTTAATCTACTTGCTCTCACTCTGCTCTTCCTATTCCTCCTCATTATTAAAGTACTGTCCTACTCATGTGAAAATACTTCATGTGAAATACTCATCTCTGATAATAGCACCAGGGTGACTTGCCCAAGAGAACAAGAAAATAAGATGCAGAAGAATTATACTGTCAATGAGAAATGCCTTTAGTCCCAGAAATGTCTATAGCCACAAAATTGACTGATATTGTGGCGGTGAGATGGATACATAGTGGGGGGCAAAAGAAGACAGTCCGAGATAGCAAAAATGTAAAGCAGGGATGTGGAACTTGTGTGGCCACTGGACTTCCCCAGGCTTCCCACCCCTGTTCTGGACAGTAAAGGGTTACCAAGTAGTGGAATGACTCCATCACCCAAGATTGCCATAGTTGTCCTTTAAAGGATGGCCAAGGCTTCCTGTAGGGCTGGGAATTTGCCTGGGCAATAGCAGCCTTTGTTGCCTCTTGAATTGTTTTCCAGTTCTGCCCCCAGGGCGATACAGCGCCTTACACATTAAACTGGTTCAGAGGTTGTTCCTTCCCATAAATGAAATTACATTGCATGCCTAGAAAAGAAGGCAGCCTAAAAAGGTTATTATAGGCATGACTGTGTGCAGCACTGTTCTCATGAGCAGGAAGTGATATGGGAACAGGTATGTAGTAAAGATACACATTGAGCTGGTTATTCATGTAGAATCTTCTTTAGGAACAAAATAAAAGCTGCTTTATAAAGCCATTCCGCTGGTCCGCCCAGCTGCATTGTCTATTCTGACAGGCAGAAGCTCTCCTAGATCTCAGGCGAAGGTGATCCCATCCTTTAAAGCCGGATCTCAAACCTGGGATGTTCCGAATGCAAAGCAGGCGCTTAATCCCTGAGCTATGGCTCTTCTCCTCCAGGCAAAGATCATGGAACAAGGATGCTCTTTGCCAGGTTGTACCAGTGCACCTGGCACTGTGATACTGCATCCACCAGCTTGAGGAAGAGCTTAAAGGCAGAGAAGTCAACTGAACCATTTGTTGGAATCCATCTGTCTCAAGAGACAATAGAGTGCGCCTCCAGGGGTAGTCAAACCGCTGTCCTAGCAGCACTGAAGTGACCAAGCCTGGGAAGTGTGTATGGAGGTCCTGGGCTGCCCAGATAACAAGACCACCACCCCTCAGCCTCACTGATGTGGTCTAAAGCAGCCTTTCTCAACCTGTGGGTCCCCAGATGTTGTTGGACTACAACTCCCATCACCCCTAGCAAAGCCAGAGCTCAGGGATGATGGGAGCTGTAGTCCAACAACATCTGGGGACCCACAAGTTGAGAACCACAGAAAGGAAAGCAGAGCAATACACTTGGCACCAGCTTGGCTGAAGCAACTGCTGGGAGGTGGCGGACAAGGTGCCACCCAACCATCTTAGGGAACCGACTCTGGATTTGTGTAGGGTTTACTCCTTAGCCTTTTCTTCTCCTGGAGATCTCCCACAAGGCAGCAGAGGTTTAGGAACTATCTTCCCAGGCTGAGTCTAATCTGCTCCTTAGTTCCCTCTACAGCACATGAAGAAACCGCCTCCTTGACCGTTGACTCACTTGACTATTGGTCTTGTCCACTCTATCTGCTGGTGTCCGTCTTTGTTTGCAGGGGAAGTCCCTAACTTACAATGGGTTTGAGACCCACTGGCTACCCTTACCTGCTTTAGCCGACCAGTCAAATCCGTTCCCAGGCTGTGGATGCTGTTACATTTGACACCTGCTAGGAGCTACAGGTGAGAGCTGAGAGCACGGTGAGGACCAATGGTGGCCAAACTACCCCTGGAGCATGACGTGTCCCCCACCAGAGCTACTACCCCTCACCTAACATCCCATGAACCCGTCAGCTGAACCACAACTCCCACATCACAATGCCTACCCAGGGCTCTGAACACACTGCATCCCCATAGGTGCTTCCTGGTACTGAGGCGGAATATTTTAACTGAGAAATAAAGGACCTTGCTTGAACTTCCCTCAATCGGGGGGGGGGGGCAGAAAAGAGGCAGCACGGTGCTTCCTGCACTCACAAGTACACACAGGTCTGTGATTAGGAGCAAGAGCAGCGCTATTTAAAAGGTTTTATAGGCTTGGATGGGAGACGGCTGCCTTCATCTGCCGCTGAGAACCTGCACGTCATCTTGGTGAGCCCAAGAGTGTCAATGGCCCTTTTGTCCCACTTCATACCACCAGAGCATAAATGAGAAAGAAATAGTCTGTGACCAGAACACTGAGAAGACTGTACCTGCTTTGTAAAAGGACTTTTCTTCCCATAAAGTTGAATTTTGCTTGAAGAACCAACCGGCACCGGCCTCATAAAGCTGCCCAACTGGCGTAAAGACAACGGCCAGATAGGCCATACTTTTCTCCATCAATTGCTGAGTGAGTTCCAACCACTCTGCCCTCACTTTGTAGGTTCGCAGTAGGGAGCTGCTACCCGACAGATCGGATGGATCTGGATCAGGGCTTGTGGCCATCCATGGACTGGCTGGACTCTAACTCCCATCAACAAGCATGGCCAAGGGGTTAGGGATGATGGGAGTTGTAGTCCAAGCCAACCCTGGAGGCTCTCCAGCCACCCGACCCAGAGACACACCACAGAAAATTCCTTATCAAAGCAAATTTCAAGGCGGACTAAAGATCAGCAGCTAATATGCATTGCTTTGGGAGAGGCCCATCAATGGCTACTAGCCATGTCCAGAATCACTGGGACTTGGAATATTTGCTGCTATGGATTGCAAAGGGTTGAGACCTCCATGCCCTGCTTGTGAACTCTTCGTAGGACATCTGGTTGGCCACTGCTGGAGACAAATACTGAACTGGAGGAACCTTTGATTTGACACAGTAGGGCTCTCCCTCCCTCTCCCTTCTGCTTCACAGGGATTACAGGAGGGAATGAGAGGAAAGGCGATGCTTGCTTCCAGCAGACATCCATTTGGTGAACAAGACCCACATGTCAGTAAGAACCAGGCATTTATTACAAGACAAAGCACTTTTATTTACTGAACTGTAAACACCAAGATATTAAGCCAAGGCCACAGCTTCAGGGGCTAATCCAGCCTCCAACTCATGAACATAATATTTACTGGCTGCATGCAAGAGCCTACATGCGGAGTAATACAGAGAAGCGAAAAACAAGCAAACATTTAACACTCCGGAGAGTACAGATCCCAATACTATATATTTGGCCCCGGAAATCCCTCTTCCTTGAAATGCAGTTGATTCAAAAGGGAGTCAATTCTTTTTAACAGCAAAATAGCTTGCACCCTCCCGCCCATTGCCTGCCCCATCTCCCCCCACAGGGCCATCTAATGCCAGCAGCCATGTGGGAGCAGGCAGGCAAGCAAAGGAGACCTTGGTCCTGCTCCAACTGGGGGTGTCATCACTCCAGTTAACAGAGTGAACTTCCTCCCCAATTGTTTTAATCACATTTAAACTGTCCCTGCTTTTTTAAAAAAATTGTAAGCCACCTTGGTGTTTTGTTTTGTTTTGTTTTGTCCAGAAAGGCAGGTACAAATTTATTAAATAAAGACATCAGCTACCATGTGGGAAGGATCCCAAAGGCTTGTATGTTATTCAATACTGTTTCACTGTGATTTTATCAATGTACTTCAATGTTACGTGTAAGCTGCCTAGGAAGAATTTGTATCCTTAAAAATTGAATATTCAAATAAATAAATAAATAGGTAAATAAATAGTATCCTCAAGAAAAGAGCTCCAACAATGGCACAGTCCTGAGGTAATCAATAATTAGATGGCCAGAAGTCTATCCAGTATGCCCTTCATAAGTGCATTACTTAAGTCTACCCTGAAGCCTGATTAAGGTAGCAAAAGGACACCTTGGAAACAATCACTATACATAGTTAAAAACATTCCTTCCCTTCCACGCTAGAATGCCGCCAAAGTTCCTTTAGCATTTGTTTACTCTCCCCTCTAGAGGAAAACTAGCTTTTTCCACAGTGCATTAGAGTCAACTGAACAGCACTAACGTGCACTGGCATACATTTGTGCAATTGTTTCATGTTACTCTACGATATCACAGAGAGCTAGGACACATGCTTTATGAGACATCATATTTTGTTTTAAAACTTTGTGCAGCCATCTGGGAAGAGGTGCCCGACACATCCCATGCCCTACTGATTAAGAAGATCATCCATCTGCATGAAACAGGATGATAAAAAACTGCTTCAGGGAAAACATTTCCCCCCACCCGACCACAACGTGTTCTGAGCACTGCTCACTGCTCAGAGAGACATTGTTCCAAGGCAGCCATGCCATACAGGCTGGCCATTTCCAAACCCCGGTGCTGTTGGATCATCTCCAAACACGGCTGGCTAGCTCGGGCCAGCTCCACCAGGATGCCTTGGAAAGCACGGACAACTTCCAAGTCTACGGACGACGGTGCCACGCGGCCCAGCAAGGCCAGCAGCTCCTGAAGCCAGCCGGAGCGCAGGACGTCCTGCGGCAGCCACAGGAAGAGGGGCACGCAGCTAGCGAAAGCCTGCATGCCCAGAAACCACAACTCACGGATGGCTGGCCAGGCCGCCTTATAGGTTGGAGAAACACTCATGGTCACCTTCTCCCCGTCGAGGTCAGTCTGGGCCACGTGGGCTTCTGCCAGGAAGCGGATGGCAGCATCAAAGAAGCCCTCAGATTCTGGAGTCCCCTGCAGACCTGAGTGAAAAAGAAAGGAGGAGAAAGGGAGGAGAAAAAAAGAGAGAGAGAGAGAGGTAATGCGGACATTCACCAACAACATGTGCTTCCTTCCAAGGTCTGGGAAGGTACAGGAAGCAGTGATGGTCACTGACTTGGATGGCTTCAGAAGAGGATTAGGCAAATTCATGGAGGAGAGTGCTATCAATGGATACCAGCCAGGATGGCTATACTCTGCCTCTACAGCTGGAGGCAGAAATGGTTCTGAATACCAGCTGATGGAAGCCGCAGGAAGGGAGAGGGCTCTTGTGCTGGAATTCTGCTTGCTGGTTTCCCACAGGTGCCTGGTTGGCCTCTGTGTGGCTTGGATGCTGGACTACTGGCCAGATCCATCAGTCTCTTCTTAGGTTCTTATGGCATTGCCTTCCTACTACTTCCTCAGGCTGAAACCCCTCTAGGAATATTTTAACTTGAGCCAGGCCTGTACAAAGAAGAGACCTGAGTCGTCCCCCCCCCCCATGACCCCTTCCTTCATCAGTTTTCAAAACTCTTTCCTGAATAGGCCAAGAAGTGGTACACACACCCCCTTTTCAGGTGACACTAATCAGAACTGATCGCAGGAGTACATTCAGTGTCACAACAGGGTTCACCATTGTAAGATGCAGTCCCAGCCTTTTGCCTGGGAGGCCTGGGGCCAGACTCAGCCATGACTCTCACTGGCTGACCTCAGGACAAGCCAGTGGTGCTGGGTATATGAGGGGGGGGCTTCAGCTCCCCCAATATTGAGGGGGCCGTCACCCCCTGACACTGCTGCGCACCCTCTGCGCACCTCAGCCTCTGCCCAGCAGCCAGGCCGGGGGTGGGATGAGCAAGCACAGAGATAGCCCTCCACATGTCCCGCCCCCACCCAGTACCCGCCGGGCGGCATCGCCCCTGGGACAAGCTGCTCTTTTCCAGCTTAATTTACCTCACAGTGCTGCTGCAAGGACAGAATGGGCTAGCACCTCCATGTGCATTACGCCTAGTTTTTCGGAGGAGGGAAAGACACAAGCTTAATACTTAAAATAAGTACATTTTAATTAGCCCAACTGGGATGGCTGTGTGGGCTTTGGGCCACTTGCTGTGCTGAGTGATCAGCAGCTTATTCTGAGGGAACTGCCTCTGTGAGGCTTCTCTTGCTTGCACCCTCTCATCCCAGCTCTTTTCCTTCTCATTTGACTCCCCATATAATTAGAGCGCACTGTTTGTCAATTCCCAACTCGGGAGGGTAGTGGAGGAGGAAAGAGAGAGTCTCATGTTGGGCAACTCAAGAAAGAAAACGATACTATACGGAGTTGCCATGGAGATGGATGGTAATGAACCACTTGTCTGCCCACACAGGCCTAGCTTTCATTGAGCTAATAAACCTGTGCCTGGGCTGTACCACTTCAGGCTACTGCGGGGGTGCTCGCATGCTGTTCTAGGCAAAAACAAAAAACCCAAAATAATCCCCACACAGTGAAAAACTAGTGCATCAGGGAGGGGGTTTGGCTAGAACCCTTCTCTTATGATGTGCTGGTTTCCTACATGAAAGGGTTTTGGCCTTTTGTTTTGTAAGGACAGCATTCAGGTCATGTGGGCACACACCTGGACTCTGAAGAGGTACAGCCTAGCAACAGATTTGCCGCTGAAGAAAAACTAGGGCATGGTTACATTTTGTTGACTTCCTACTCAGTTTTGGCAGTGGAAGCTGACAGCGCTATTTCTTGCCTGGGTAAGCAAACAGCCTCTTGGACATCATGAGTCCCAGTGTTGCCACATTGGCTGTCAGGCCGAGATGTTCTCTCTGTGGCAGCAGAGAAGGAAGGGACTTCAGCAATGTGTCCATTAAGGTCGCAAAGCAATCTTCTCGGCTGCAGGTGAGAGAGAGAAAGCAAAACACAAGATGCTTTCTGAGTTAATCATATCTGCAGTCCACCCTTCACCCACAGTACTCAAGGTTATGTGCATAAACTTCTCTATTTTTGTTCCCACACCAGCTTGAGGGGTTGGCTAGGACCCTTTGAGCTTCATAATTTAGTGGGGATTTAAACCCTGGGTGAAGAATTAAACCATGATTTCCTCAGTCATGTGTGAATTCATTTGTTACATTTTTAGGTGTACATCTCTTACTAAAGAAATTCATTGAGCGAGCACTTGATGAATATTTAAAGTATTATATTTCATGCTCTTCATTTTGTATTACAAAAATTATTATACATATTAAAATAATAACATATTTTTTTAAAATATGTGAATAAGAAGTCTGCATTTGGAAATAGAGGTTTGCCTCTGTAACATGTTAAGGTGTCGTTAACTCACTTGCATTCCTCCTCTACCCATTACCTGATTAAATCTGGAGCAGTCACAACCAAATTAAGGAAAATTTCACAACACGTCTGAAGGCTGGTTTCCACAGTAGTCGATGTAGTCAGGGTATCTGTATTTGAAACAAATATCTCCCACCGGTACAAGAAATATTGGCACAGGAGTACTGGCGCCCCCTCTGAAATGAGGATTCCACGGGGTCGATCCTCTGCAGTCAAGTGGCTTAAGCCAGGTAAGAGGAATCTGAAAGGGGACATGGAAGTGTTGGAACTAAGTTAAAGGCAGAGGGGTTTTTTCCCATTTATTTAACGCATTTATATACCCAAGCTCTTAAGACAAAAAAGTCCCTCGAGCAGCTTACAAAAACCACTAACTAGATAGTCCATGGCCTCAAGCTTCTTACAGCAAAGTTTAACAAGGAAGTTGTTACGACCATGGTGAAATTAAAATGCATTTCAACCTGGAATATGGATTTTCTATAGTAAAAAACCCAAGCCAGTTACAAAAGATTTGCTACTGAAGAGCTGCCACCCTAGGTCAGCTCAACAGCCAGCCCAATGCCATACCCTAGCACTGGCTACTGCTGAATATATTCAAAAAAAGGCCCAACAATTTTTGCACAAAGTAATGAGACCCTGCTGCACCTTCTGCCAATCTGACCAATAACAGGGCCTCTCCCATTATATTTGAGAAAACATGACTAGGGGTGGGAAATTAAATATCAAAGTAAGATCTGAAATGTTCAGACTGCTTATTATAATGGGGTCTGGGCATTTTGTCTTGTTTATCCCATAAAGTTTGTTTCTTGAAAGCATTTGTACCCAATCTTTCCTAAGTCTTTCTTTTCTTTTCTGGGCAGCCCACAATGATTAACACATAATAACAGACCACAGGAGGACAGGTTTATAAAGTTAGCCTTAGATACCCTTGGCTCCTTTCTTATACTAGTCAAAGTCCTGATTTTTTATTTTTTTTTAAGGAGGAAATTATGTAAGTCCTAACAGAATGAAGGGAGAGGTAGTTGCACAGAACTGGGACAACTACCAGAGGCACCGCTCCATACCCTGCCTCGCCACCTAAGCAGATGGCAGGTAGGTGTACTGTAGCTCGTGACACTGCAGCAGCTAGGCAGTAGTAAACTACACATTATATCCTTATTGTAAAATGCAGGAGAGCGGACCGGCTCCAAACAATTCAAACATTCTTAGAAGAGTACAGCCATACAAGGGAGCTCAGGAACCTGGTTAAAGGTTGTAGGTCACCCAGGATGGAGGCCAATTTTGGAGGAGGGGACTGGGTATGCAGTGACTGTTGGGAATCACACATACTCCAGCAAGACCTGTTTTAACAGTCTGGGAACATGACAAGGCTGCACATGGTTGGGTCTTCTCTCCCCTCCTTTGATGCTAATTGGTAGGGACTCCGTGCCCAATCCTTAACAGAGCCAGGACAACATCCTACCTTTGGTTCTCAAGTGACACAGCTGACCGCAGCTGAAGGGCTGGTTTCAACTCAAGAAGCTTATTGGTGGTCTGGCCTTCCCACAGCTTTTATTACTGGTCCCACTAGAGTGGAAGTTGGTGATCATTGGGACTGATAGGATAGAAGGGAGGATAATCAACAGCAGGCGAGGCCAGAGCCAACTAATTCCAGGTTTGCCCCCTGCTGAAGTATATATGGTGTGACAGCACTGAGGCTAAGAAGGAGGAAGCCGACAACCAGTGCTGTTAAGTAAGAAGGCAGGACTGGCTATGGGGCAGGCTGAAGTTGGTGGGGCAGTGCCCCATTTGCCTTAATGAACCAGCCTTTGTTGCTTAAAAGATGGGAACAAAGGAACTTGATGGAACTTTGCATACTTAAAATCAAGGTGGATTTGCATCCTGGAAGCTGTTCCTACATGGCTCCTGATCCTACATATCCAACAAAACCAACCTCAGAGCTGAGAGACTGGTGAAAAGAGGAAGAAAAGAAAAGAAAAGAAAAGAAAAGAAAAGAAAAGAAAAGAAAAGAAAAGAAAAGAAAAGAAAAGAAAAGCAAGCAGAGAGAGTGAACTCAAAGTAAACTGAATCACAGGAGTCAATATTGATGGGTTGATTTTTCCAGACCCAAGCTTGTAATGCCATTCCACATCAGGAAGGTTGCAAATAGTTCTCCAGGGAACACAGATGACTCACTTGGGAACCTTTGTGCTATAGTCAGGCGCCCACGAACAAATGCTGCTCCCACATGGTCTCGGGATTAGAAACCATCAGTAAGAGCTGTTGCATAAGCCTTTCTAGTGCTCATCATGCCATTGCTGATGGGTGGCCAGAAGCTGCCTTAGATAGACAAGAAGGCTTGGCAAGTAAGCAGCTTACCCTCAACAGCATCCTGGTCCAGAGTAGAGGGGAAGGGGGCAGCACTACTGAAGGAGTCCTGCTAACTGCTAAGTTTTATACACACTAATTGAAACAACAATAAATCTACTGCTATCAAATACTTGGGCTTCCAATTAGCATCACTTCTGTCTTGCCTGGAATTCAGCCTCAGTTTCCCTGCCTGTATCCAATTGATCACAGCCACTGCTGTTGCTCTTGGTTGCCTAGCTAAAATATGCAGCACTGGGAGTCAACAACACTCTCCCCCACAGTTTCATGTAAATGTTTAAAAAAGAGCCCTGGTGGCAATATAAGACCCCTGTAAAAACTCTACACCTCTTATCTCCGGAGGAGAGTAAGCTGCCACCCCAAGATGGAATCTAGTCCAAGTCATTTCCACACTGATAACTAAGATGACAAAAGAAAAGCTTCATATTATGCTTTAGTTGAGATTCTTGCATTGCAGGCGGTTGGACCAGATGACTCTTAGGGTTCCTTCCAAGTCTACAATTTTATTCTGTGAAGAACGTTTCCAAAAATGTAGCAGTGCAGAATTTTATCAGTGTATCAGCGAGGCAGAGGTTTGCCTAAGGCCCCTCAAGGACTTTAATGTCCAAGCTGAAACTCCAGCCAGAATGTTCCTGATCCTCAGCTCATCATTAGAAGTGTTTAAGCAGAATAAACCTAAAGTGGTTCTGATTCCCAAACTGGAATCTAGAAAGCATAAAGCAGCAAAACAACATATTTCAACACCCAACGCTGTAATTTACCTTATAGCATCTCCTTGCCAAACAGGAGGCTGGATGCTGCTTTGCCCAGCCTGCTCTGCCTCCTGCTGCAAACTACTTCTGACTCTCTTCTCCTCCTCAAACCGCATCTTGGCATAGTAGATGAGGAAAGGCAGAAGGTCACAGATCTCTTGCTTGAGGGAAGATGTCTCTTCAGCCAACCAGGCCCCAAGGATTCGAACGGAGGCAAAGATGAAAGGGTCGTCCAGCTTCTTTCGCCCTACCTGTGGGACAGAGAAAGCAGTCACAAACATGTTGTAAATCAGTGAGGCTGGGATGAGTGACATTGTGAGCCAGACAAAGGAAAGTGAGCATGTACCATCTGTTAAATCCAAGCTGATAAGCCACAGAGCCTGCAGGACCACAAGCACTTCAGCTACTTGGCCAAAACAGCAATCTGGGGAAGCAGTAGATTCTTTCCACCTTTTCTACCATCCTTGATGGATTTCAAAGGCCTTGATTAGCTCCCAGTTCAGTCTCCCCTACATAAACAAAAGTTAAGGCAGCCCCCGTTACAGAGCTCTTTGCCCTTCTGTGTTATTCAGAACTTCTACATTTTCATTTAGTCCAGGGACGCCATTTCTATCTCCCCCTTTCCTCCTTGTCCTGTACTATGGTTCATTTCCCTCAATACTAGTTTGGGCTTCCAACCCACCAGAATTGCCTCACTTGGACACCAGATGACTCTTACCAACCTGGCACAGTTGACAGCCTCGGACCCTCATAAAGGTAAGACTGTTAACTGCTTCCTGAACTCCTGAGGCAGCCTTATAAGATTGGAAGATTTTGGGAGTCTTACTATACCTGTCTCAAGTAGTGTATGACAGCCCCGAAGGCTTCCTCCAGGATCCCCACCAGCTGCACTTTCTGCGTCTCCAGCAGCAAAGAACCTTTCTCTTTTGTGCACTCCATAATTGCCGTCTCCATCAGAACGTAGCAAGCAGCCATCAGCTCCTGCTTCTTGTCCACCTCTGCCAGATCCAACTCCTCCAGAGTCAGGCGGACTTCGACACACGCCAGGTTGGACAGCAAGGCAAAGAACTTGCTGCCAGCACCCCCTCCTTGGATCCACTCTGAGCCACAGGCTTGTGACAGGCAGGCTGCCAGCTTCAAGGCAGGGTCCCGCTGGGAAGTGCTCAGCTTGCTGGTCAGGATGCTAGCCAGGCCTCGGTAGAGGGGCAGGAGGCATTCGGTGTTGGGCGAGAGAAGGGGAGGGATGAAGCGGGGCAGCACTTCACACAGCTGGAATTTGGTCATGTCTTCAGCCTTCTGGAATTCTAGACTAAGTACGTTCAGCACCCCCATGAGGTCAACAGTGGCTCTCTGCCAGCACTTTGCTTCGGCTGCGATCAGAAGCCCCACAAGCAGCTTAAAGGCCTGATCAAAGCCATAGCCATGCTTCACATAAGCCCTGCACAGTGCTGGGACAGTGCCCCTGTTCACCAACTCTCTGGGACCCTTTGGAGTGGCCATGATAGCCCTGAGGCACTGATAAGCATCATCAATCATGGCATTACAGGAAGCATCTCCTGGCTTGCAAGTTGAAATCACATCATTGAAAACCGGGATTTTGTTAAGGACCTGGGGATGCCGAGCTAAATCTGGATCGGTGCAGAAGCAGGCCAACAGGGTGAGGCCCAGGGCTTGGAATGTGTGCTGTGTGCAGCCCTCAGGGGCATCCTTAGACGTCAGAAGCCTGTTTGGGAATGTGAAACCAACCGCGTCAAAGATCCTCCGGCGGGTTTTGGAATTGATTTCTCCAGCTTTTGCTGCTTTGGTCACCTGAAGGATAAAATCAGGAGGCATCAGAAGCATGCAGTTTTGTGACATGGCTTGACTGAGCTAGCAGTTTCCCTTCCTCAGCTATAATTGCTTACTAGGCCTCTCCCTCCCTAAGTTCCTCTTGCATGCCACAGACATGGAAGGCTTTGCTCTTTCCTTGTTACAAGGATCTGTGTCCATCTTTAGTCTACAGGACAAGAGTGGATGCTATTATCTAGCCCAAGTCCTTATCTTAAGCAATTATTAGTAATTATGACTGTCATTTTACAGGTAGAAAACTACTGATCACCCACCCAGTTAGCCAGCTACCATGAATAGCTGGATTCAAAAAGCTTATCTTCATTCCCAAATTTGCTTCCAACGCAGTCTATTCCTGCCAGTGCAAGGCCATATTCTTACCAGAAGCAGAGCAGCAAACTGTTCGCTATCGTTGCTTGCATCTCTAAGCACATTGAGGCATCTCTCCAGTGTAGGATTCTTGCTGCTCTCACCATCATCAGGGACAATTCCCGAATTTGAAGCCATGATATCAGCTCTGTACGTAAAGACCACCATTGTTTTCATACAACAGGATAGACAAAAGATCACCTATCACAGTGACACTGGATAGACCAAGTTCCCCTACAGCAGTGGCTGCTGGCAAAGACACATTGCTCATGCCTAGAACTAATTGGCTAACAACAGGGAAGAACCCAAAACTTACTGAGCTTTCAGGATTCCCAAGTTTTAAGGCAGCTAACGGTAGCACAGTGTAGTAGTTAAGAAAGACTGAGCTATGAAGCTTGATGCTTACTGGGATACCGCAGTAAGATCAGTAAAAGTGATGGGCAAGCTTCCTGAAAAAGCATCTTGCCTTGATGCTTTTGCAGCAATAGGCAGCTGTGGTAACGTGCACATTCTTAGCAGGCAATGATATCTAATAGGCCTAACTAGCACTCCAAATGAAGTCACTTTAGATCTGGGGTTGCCAGCATGACAGTGGTGCATGTAATGGAACCCTTGAGGCCATCACTTTCACATCGCATTCACAAAAAATCCAAGACCCCACCCTCTCGCACTGCAACCTTTGTCCCAAGAGAGAGTATGGGCAATTACCTTTTCCTCTTAGAAAGGTAGAGTTGAATGAAGAATCGAGACAAAGTGATGCTCTTTCACCTCTATATGATTCTTAAGGTTCAGAACAGCACCTGGTCAGGTGAACAGAAAGCAGAGTAATGAAAATTGGGGGGGGGGCAGAGTCAAGGGAAGAAGGGGGAGTGCTGCAGAAGTCAGGTGGGGTGGGGATATAGAGCAGGCACCTGTTTTGTGGTGCTTGCAAGCACCAGATCTGTGGTTTCTACTGTGCCAATGCAAACTTTAACTTGATGGTGGTTGGGGGGGACTCTGAGCAAAGCAATGCAAATTCAAGATACGTTGCAGTTTTGCTTGATTTGACTTTACGCACACCCTATGTAAAAACAAATAACCTGTGTGCACACTTGCTCTCTTTTATGTAGTGACCTCCAGGGGAGGGGAGAAAGAATGCAACTAGAAGAGGTGGTATCCATTCAAAATTGCAAGCGTGCTGGTGGGCTCAAAAAAGGTAGGCAATATCAGCTTTAGACCATGCCCAAAATAGCGATGAGGAACCTATGGTCTGTCACATGTTGCTGGGACTCCAACGCTCACCATCTTCAAGTGCCAGTAAAGGCAAACAGGGAGGACATCCATCTTTGGGTTTGGACAGTCAGCTTTCCATAGTTATCTACTCTTGCCAAGTGCCAGGGTAGATTCTCTCAGAGATTTTTTTAAATGGCAATTGCTCTGAAATATTCATCTTCTCTCTCATGCACGTGTAGGTTTAAGAAGGCAGTTTAAAAACCCTAAAGTACTCAAAAAGCAAGGCTGTGGTATTTGGAAAGAGACACCAGAAACTCTAACTGTAAACAGATGAGTAACTGATTGACCTAAGAGGTGAATTTAAATGCCTAGAAATTCAGAATTCAGTTTAATGATACATTTTCTTGGGAAATTTATAGAGATGCTTCAGCTTCTACAACTTTGGACACCATATTAAACTGTTGTTGTATAGAAAGGGGTGTTCTAATAGACCCTGCTTTAAAGTGGTTTCAAAACAAGGTAATGACTCAGATTTTTTTATAGGGCTGATTTTGTATAGGGTTGAAGTATCTATTGTCGACTGAAGAGTGGCTCCCTGCAAGGATTAATGAGAGGCAATTTCTGTGTTGCTAGGAAATGTGTGCACTTTAATTTTTAACCTTTATAAAAAAATGTTATGCTCTTTATTTGTTAGTACTGCCATGGAAGGGGTGCTGGTTGTATCATTGCTAATAATTGATTGCATTGGAAATGTTTATCCAAGCTGATTCTGGTTGATATAGTTCAGCTCACTGATGTTAACTGATACATGTGTTTGATCATTTATTTTATAATTAGTTTATAACCTGACAGTTATAATATCCATATCATCAAAAGTGATCTATTTATTCGGATTGGCATATTCTCTTTTGAAATGAGTTAGCATTTAGACTGTTATAGTAATGATGCATTGTTCTGTGTTTTTTGCTGTCACATTGGGAGCTGCTTTGGGCAAATGTGTGCAGAAGCAGCATACACAACGGAATAATAAATAAAGTACAGGGCTGGGATGTTTCCCAAATGTTGAAGCTGGAATCTTTACAGAACAGTTTCTTGAAGAAATTGTTGGCTCTGCCCTACTACTCCTAATTCATTCAGAAATACAACTTTCTTCAATCTCATCCAGTAACCATAATGCTATAATTTATTGCTCTAATTATAGACAATTCTTCAGATAGATTTAACAGGCTTTTAGTGTTGGCAGCTTCAGCTCTCTGGAACCAATGACCAGCTGAAATCACACAGATGAAGTCATACAGATGCCTAGCATGGGGCTGTGTAGGTGCCTTCTGAAGACATTTTTGTTTAGGAAGGCTTTCCCAGTCATTTATGAAAGATAAATTTTATACCTGGTAAAAGGTTTCTGTTGTTTTTTAAGTTTATGCTTCTGTGTTTCATTCTGTTTTTATGCTTTATGTCACAGTCTATAAATTTGTTTACTAAAAATAAAATCTGTCTAAATTGATACTGAATTGCAAGGACTGGGTTTCCAGATATCAGAAGATACTCAGATCTTAATATGTTTCTACATACACTTTGGTCACCTCAACAGAGAAGTCAATCTCATCTGATAAAATTAATGCTCTAAGGTAAAGAATGACCATGGTAGAGTAAAAAATGACCATGGTAGAGTTGCCAGTTTGGTTAAGTCTTACGTCTGCTAAACTCAGGCTCAGTGTAGATACTTTCATGCAATCACTACTTTTAATTCTGTTCTTTATGCCTGGAATCCTGTTTTAAGGATTCTAGATACTATTTTATTGGGATTACACACAAACAAAACCATCCTAGAAAACATACATTGTCTATTGCCAGATATCATCATCATTAATTACTTGCTTTCACTAGAAAGTCCAAGGCAGGGTTCCACTAATGTAAAGTGCAACATTAAAAGAGTTTATAACAATTTACTATCATAACTAGAGCAGGCCCTAGAAATATAGGGATGTGGTCAACTAAGTCCTGCTCAAAGTAGATCCAGTGAAATTAATAAACTTAAATTAGCCATTTCTATTAACTTCAATAGGTCTGTTCTGAGTAGTAAAAGACTGAATATGACACATTTTGTTGTTGTAGTTTTTGGACAACAACAACAATAATTTATTCTAGAGAATATTTGGAGAATATTCTCAAGAATATTCTCAATTAATGAGGTTTGCACATTTAAAGCAGCTGCGTAGACACAGAATTTACAGTTTTTGGATAATATTCTCGAGAATATTCTCCGGAGAATATTCTCATCTCACATCACTATGGAAGATGATAATTTACATTTGTTAATTTCAATGGGTCTACTCTGAGTGGGACTCTGCTAACTAGAATGTCAAAGGCCAGGGTAAAGAGCTATATCGTCAGCATTCGAAGATTTATATTGTGTCTTTTTTATGTTTGGATCTTTGCAGCAGTGAGTGCAAATAGTGCTTTCAGAGATAGCTATAAATTGTCATGGTAATGCCACGATTTGATGATAGTTTTATTATTTTACTGTATTTTCATCCCTTGTTTTTACTGTTTGTTTTTCTTGCTTTTTAAATAATTGATTCTGGCTCTCATTAAATATTTTTAGTACCTGCATTGGCAAACATGATTTACTGTTCACTCTTCAGCCTGTCTGAATTTCTGCAAAGGCCTTTGGTGATAAGCAATAAAAGTTTAATTTGGCTGACTCTCATCAGCCCTGGTCAGTCATAAAGAATGATGGAAATTTTACTCCAGCAACATCTGCAGAGCCAAAGGTACCACATCTCTACCCTGATACACACACACACACACACACAAACAAACACATGCATAAAGATTCTGCAGTAGATTATATGGCAAACAAGTCAATTTTTGTAAACTCCTTTAAGTTTATTTGGTTGGTCCCCCCATCAAGTGGTTTATTTATTTTTGTTTAATAAAATTCATATATGTGGCAATAAGGCACTATATAAACCACAAAGTTACATAAAATAGACAAAGATTAGATATTTAGACTATGAATGTTTCAAAACTACACACCACCAAAACCCCACCCAAATTTAAAACAAATTTCACGTGGGGGCAGTTTTTTGCTTGCAATCCAGATTTCCTGGTTATTTTTGAAGACTTGGCTGTACCTCGGTGAAGAAAAGAGAACAAAAAGTCTTGTGACACTTTAACATACCAACAGATTGTTTAAGTGGTAATAGTGACATCTGCTCATCAGTAACAATGTAGCACAAGACTTGGCGGTCACATTATGTGTGCCCCCAGTCCTGCTCCCTAAAAGACAGAAATGCATGCATGCGTCTTCTTGTGTGAAAAATAAATGAATTTTTCATTAGCTGCCCTGCAGACATTAACTGCAGTGGGCTATGAATGATAAAATTTACAATATTATTTTTCCCATCCCACAGATGGGGTGTGTATACATATCCTGTAAGCCAAAATACTCATTCAGGGCTGGAAATGGGGGGTGTAAGAAGGAAAACCAATGACAAATCTGTAACATTGTCCACTGTTAGTATACCCAAATTGCAGATTAGGATGGGTGGGGAGGCAGGAAAATGGCTTACAACGATCCATTACTGTGATCTATGATTAGACCAATATACCAAGGATTCTGAGGCAGGGACCCCTGTCCTAATAACACCACACTCCTACTATTCTAACATCTTTGGAGATTCATTACATTTATATCCCTTCTTTTCTCCAGGGTGACATGGTTTTTCCCACCCTCCCATTTCATCCTCACAACAATCTTGTAATTAACATATTTCTATTCGCCCTTGCAGAACAAGTCCTCAGAAAGCCTAAAAATAAAAAAATGTTTTTAAAAAAACAACTTGTCAAACACAGGCAGCAATAAGATCTATAAAAAGCTTGGAAAAATAAGGGGACTACTTAAAAGCCACAATAGATTGGGGGGGTGGGAGAGGCAATTTCACAAATACAGTGCCACCACTGAAAAGGCATTCTCCCTGATACAGACATCAGGCTACTGGCCTGTTTGACCATAGTGATTGACCAGAATGCAGGACAGCTCTTAGCATCTGAGCAGGTTCATATAGGAGTACTTGGTCTGTCAAATGCAATCCTTATCTGGATTTATGCCCCGGAGAAATCAACAGGGCATACTTCTAGGAAGGTGTACATACATACAACTATGTGCAAGTTGAACCTTGAACCATATAAGTAACCATCTGTCTGCATTATCTGCAATTGTTTTGTGAATTACCATTGCCAATTATGTGATTATCAGCCTATCTGTACTTTCTGCATTTCATTTCTCTCCGATCACACTGTGCACAATTCCTTCCTTAAACCATGTGGATATATACCTGAATTTCAGATATGCATCTAATAAAGTAGTCTTGCATCTAATAAAGTAGACTGCAGTCCACAAACACTTACGCCATAAGTGTTAGTCTTTGCCACAAGGTGTCACAAGACTCTGCTATTTTTACTGCAACAGACTAACATGGCTAACCGTCTGGAAACGGGTAACCAACGCAACCGGTGAAAAATCGGCGAGATAAGATAAAACTACATAGCCCCTACAAGCATTCTGCTTCAGCTGAACTTTCTGGACAAAAAGCCCTCAGGAATTACAGTAACATGAAATAACCTAGTCTCAGAGGAGCTAGCTAAAAAGCTTTCACTAGGCCAGTCGCCGAGTGGGGATTTGCACCTGGGTCCAAAAATATTTCACCACTTACCCTTCCAAGGTTGCTCACAACATATTAAAGCAATAAAATGTTTGCAAGCATAAAACATTTTCTGCAAACGCATCTAAAAAAATACTAAGAGCAGCCGCTGCAGAAGCAGCACCACCAGAATAAAACAGATGGATGCTGCATTCCTAACTCCGTTTACCTTAGCGACAGCCGCACAGAATTCAGTGGGACTTACCGCCAAGCAAATCCTGCTAGGATCGCAGCCCTAGGCCCGTGCAAAAGCTGACCGGAAGTCTTCCCCAGGACACCAAACGGGAGATGCGAAATGCCACTAAAGGAAGACCCTGCGCGCGTGGCGCATGCTAGAAGGCGCAGGCTATGGCAGAGGTGCATTTGCTCCCTCCTTAATAGCGCACCCACAGACACCCACCCAAACCCTCAGCCCCCGCATACGTGACGCACTTCGCTTTTGCTCACGTTAGAGACCACCCCCCTCATCTCCACCCCCCTCATCTCCGCAAACACCGACACTCACCTTTTCCTCCAAGCGGGATCCGTCACTGGCGCAAGAAAAACACTATATTACATCCCCTTCCCTTCGTCTCACCTCCTCTCAGCCCCCGCACTCACTAGCCTCACCAGCCCACGCACGCGCTCCTTAACCAATCAACCTCCCCCTTACTACCCCTTTCGCCAATAGCGCTTCGAGTTCATAAGACGTGCCCTAAGAAGCCACCGCCTCCATGTCAGATATGGTCATTTTCCACCTCCTCCACAAACCCCCCCTCTTTAAAAAAAAACAAACCGTGGTGGTTGGGGGGCCGAAACACATTGTCCCTCGCGAAAACCTCGCAATCGTAGCAACGGCGCGCGGTCTTTTCCGTTTCCGGCCAACCCAGCCCTGATTGGCTGGCCGGCCTGGCCTGCAAGGCGTACCTTTTTGTATTTCCGGATGAGAGAGAGAGAGAGAGAGAGAGAGAGAGAGAGAGAGAGAGATGGGGGCGGGGCTAGGCAGAGTCGAGTGAGGTGCTGCTGCTGCTCTAGGAATGTCGCGCTGACGTGTAAGCGTCTGTAGGCGCGTGCTGACTAGCCTCCGACACTGAGGTGTGTTATGGTTTGTTTTTTTGACGGGGGGGGGCTGCTGGTGAGGGAGCCTGAGGCCTACGTGGTTACCATGGTGAACGCGAGGCCTGCCGCCCAGACCTCACCCTGAGGGGGGATGCTGACAGGGTGACGCCCCCTCCCCTTACCTGAGCCTGTCAAGACTACGACGCCCCCACTCCGCTGCCCCTCACAACCTCCCCTCCATTCCCAGTCGCGCGGCCTGCGGACCCTTCGCCACCCTCAGCGGGCAACTGAAGAGGACTCTCTCTCCGCGTCCGCCATGCACCTCTGGTAAGTGCCGCTCTTAACTGCGTTTCCTGAAAGTAGGGCGGGTGGAGAACGGCGGAGACCGAGGTGGGGCCTCCCGCCTTGTCCGTCCTTTCCTGTGACAGGCATGGTCAGCGCGGAGGGAAGGGGTCCTGGCTGCCTGGACGGCGCCGAGTGCGCTGCAGTGGGGGGTGGAAGCGACGCGAGGGAGATCCTGTAACTAGATGACGCTGGAGGCTTTTGGAGCAGCTGGGCTCCTCTCAAGAGTGGCGGTTTCGGTCCTGAACAGCGAAATCAAACTTTTGTTGGGGCTGCAGGAAGTGCAGCTTCGGTTTAAATCCTTTAAGCAGAGAGAGAGAGAGAGGACCTGCAACCTTACCTATGCAAAGCAGGTACTCTTATCTTCCTGCAAATAGAGATATAAGTGGCACGGGGAGGGATTTGTGGCCTGAAGCTGGACAAAATAGTACCAATAAGTGGACGAAACAATGCTCAGAAGTTGGGAAACTGTAGCTTATTTTTGTAGCAAGCCTTTGTAGGTGTGCCAGTGAGTGTGGCAATCTAGTTTTAAGGACCCTCTCCTAGCCCAAACCCTCAGATAACCCCAGGATGAGCAGCTTGAAGTGAAATGGACTTGATTCTAGGCTTGGGCAAAGATTTGGTTTGTTGGTCCTCTCTGTACAAAAGTATCAAATTGTCTTCCTGCAAGTTGTTTGCATTAGGTGTTATCTTCCTGCTGAGTTCTCTGGCAGGGTGTGTGTTTTAAATAAATTCTGTAATCTTTTGTTCTTGTATTTTAAAAAACTCTCTAGAGGAGGAGGAAATCAACCTGATTTATTCTGATTTGCGAGCCTGCTCATGCCCCATAAAATTTTTGAGGGGTAGAGATTAGTAACCCTATTGTATCAGTGGGATGCATTTTATTTATGTATGTTTTGAGGATGCACACTCTTCATGCTAGTTTGGAAGCTTTTGTGTATATAAATGCTAAGGAATTTTTCAGTACTAATTTTGTACCAGTTAATTCTCTTTTCTCTTAGCCCAGTAGTTCCTATACTGTTTACTGGGATTGGTGTGAACCTAAAGTAGCCACCCAGAAAGGAGATTGTCCATTATATCTCTGCATTTTACTGGTGCTTTGCTTTTGCCTCCTTCCAATCAGCTTCAGTTGGAGACAAGTATTTCTTCATGTTGAGAAAGGATGGGATCATTTCTCATGTAAACACATATCAAAATTACCCACCAAAACTGTCTCTTGTGCGACTGTATGGGTTATTACTCTGGTCTTGCCATTTTCCCATCTGGAGGCTCATGCAGAACTGTGACTTGCACAGACACATAGGAGATGGACATCTAAAGGATGGTAATTTTCATTCTAACTGTGAAAGTAGAAATTTTGAGATAAAAATGTGGCTCCAGTTTTAATTCTGAGAAAAAGTCAACCTCAGGTAGCAAAAATTTGGAAAATACTGTCTTAGCCTTTAAATAAATAAATAAAGTTAGGAAGAATTGAGGAACCTAGTTGGCCACAGAAATCTTGTTTTGGTTTTGAAAGCTCCTCCTCAATTCAAATGTTTCTTCTACAGTAATGCTGTTAAGTGCTGTATCTTATCTTTTGCAGCTCTAGTTAATCTGCTTCATCAAGAGCATTGTTGAAAAATAGAATATTTAACTATACAAAGCAGCAAACATATCCAGATTGAGTCAAGTGATCTACAGTATGTCTAGTAGACTTTTAGACATTGAGTGAAAGTTTTAAAAGCATGCATATAGTGGGAAGAACAGCTTTTAATGCATGCACTTAAGTTGAATGGTTGGAATCTTATTTGTGTTGGAGAATGGAGAATGAAAGTACCTTAAAAAGTATAAAGAAAGTATTATATTCTACTGAATATGAGTAAGTTGTACATTCTGTAGGAATGCATTAGATTTTGAAAGCTCACTGAGAAGAAATACCTTGTTAATAAGCTGTTTGAAATGCCATTCAGTAAGTGCATTTAATAGCCTCTTTGATTTAGCACTGAGTACAGTGGTTTGTGTCAAGGAACCCTTGGGGAGCACATAGTGATATAGAAGGCTGTGCTTAATTTGCACTTTTTAGGGGCAGCTAATTAATGTGTGTGTCATTTGTAAATCAGATGGAGGCAAAGCTGTAGCTACTAGGATCCTCATGTAATCTTGGAGCCAAACTATATAATGTGTTAAATGTGTGAAAGCATTTAATGTACTTGTTTCTTTCCCCCTTTTTTATGCATCACTGTTAGGGCTTACATGACAAGTTTTTGTAGCAACTGTCAAAATTCTCTCTTCTACACAACTATTAAAGTTGGAGGAGCCCTGTCCACTTTTTCATCTTGCCACTCCAGTCATGGTCCCAGTGAACTTATGCTGCTATTTGCTCCAGAAGTGAAGCTGCCTTGGTGTCAATGTCAGCTTTCCTTTGGGGGCCACTTTAATTGAGAAAACAGTGCAAAGTGAAAGGGCTAAATTCATGAAGGCATTTTACAGTATTGTCTAGTTTGGCACTTTGAAGTGACAACAGGAAAATGTTTCTTTGGGTTCTTTTTGCAGTTTTATTCCTCTTTGGCACATTCTTTTACCATCACATTATACCCTTTTCTCCATTGTATTGAGAACCAGACACTGAAATAAAATAAACCAACTGGATGTCTTACAGTTAGTCATAGCACAAGCTGGTGTTTAAACTTTCATTCAATGCTCAAAGTTCCTTGGACATTTGTTCACAGTTCATAATTGCTATTGCCTACTTCATCCAAATTTTTTTGTAAGAACTCTTTATTATAGCAGTTGAATAACCTGCTTCACAGCTTCTTGATCAGAAAGCTATTCATTGTTCTGTGGTAATGGACTTTCAGGCCTGTAGCTGACAGAATTGAACTTTGAGCTGTTCCTGACTCCTCAAAGGGTGTTGTTAAACACTTGCATAACAGCAGGAATTTAATTTAATTTGTCATCCTGCATAGGTGTTCAGAGCAAAACATGAGATTAGATGCTACTCATAGGCTGATCTCAGCATCAGCCCAGTGGTACAGAGTGACTGGGCAGGTGGCTGACACAATTTAATTGGTGCTAGCCATGCTGGTCCTGCCCACCTAACAGTTCGAAAGCATGCAGTGCAAGTAGATAAATAGGTACCGCTCCGGTGGAAGGTAAACGGCATTTCCGTGAGCTGCTCTGGTTCGCCAGAAGCGGCTTAGTCATGTTGGCCACATGACCCGGAAGCTGTCTGCGAACAAACGCCGGCTCCCTTGGCCTATAGAGCGAGATGAGTGCGCAACCCCAGAGTCATCCGCGACTGGACCTAGCAGTAAGGGGTACCTTTACCTTTACCTTAGCTATGCTGGAGGTAGTGTAAGTCAGGCTGTCATGCTTCTTCCAGAGTTGCTGGCTCCCAATATAACCTGGAAATATGCCCGTAGAATCCTCAACATTATGAAGGGGTTTTTAGGTGTATCTTCTGTTTTTATACAGCATTGCAGAAGGTTGGGCTTTTGCATTGCTTCCTCCATGGCCAATTCCTTCCTTGTGCAATCTGAGGATATCCCTAAGATCCTCTTTGATGGAGTTATGTACCGGTAACATCTTCCTAGGTCATATGGGAACACCTTTATCTCTCCCTTCCTAGGATGATGCATGGCACTGAGGGAGTCCTGACCCCAGCAGTCACTTGAATCTGTTGCTCTGTAGAGTCTTCAGGGCCCACTAGGAGCACAGGAAATGTATAGCTTGATATCTGCTGGGCTATTAGTATTGGTACTGGTGGCATGGTCCAAATGATGAAGTGTCTTGGGATTGTAATTGCTCCTCCAGGTAATTTGCACAGCTTTTGTTCACACATTGGCTCCCTTGCTTCCCTTTTAGTTCCAGTTTTTGGATGCATCCTGGAGTGGCCTGTGATAATTAGATTATAGATAAGTAGACATTGCTATGAGGAATGGACATTGCTTTGGGGAATGGATAGATTCAGGTTACACGAAGAGGTTCTAGTTCCACTGCAGTTCGAATGACAATTTGACAGTTATCAAAATGAATGCTGCGGTCTGCATGATGACAATTGCCAGGCAAATAGGCTTGCACCATAGAGGAGAGTATGTGCATGTCTGATGGGTAGAACAACTCTCACTCTCTGTCATGGTCTGTCTGCTTTCAGTTTGTTACCTTAAATTCAGAGCTCTGACCTTTTCTTCACTAGGGGTTATGCAAACTCTCTAGAGACATGAAAAACATAGCCACTTGAGACTTTTATGGGCTTTGTTCTGTTCATGTGTCTCAGAACCCTTGAGAAGACACAATAAGGAAGGCAAAAAAAACCTAACGTATTTGTTGGAGATGATTTTTACACTACACAGAGAATCAGTTCTGTTCAAATTAAGTGAACCAGTCTAAAGTCACTGGGACTTAAAAGGCTGTGATCCTGTCCTCACAGTATTTGGAAATACCGTATTTTTTGCACCATAACACTCACTTTTTTCCTCCTAGAAAGTAAGGGGAAATGTCTGTGCGTGTTATGGAGGGAATGCCTACGGGTGGCAGAGGGGATCTGCTGCAGTCGTGAGCAGAGGATCCATGGTTCCCCTTCCTTCCCTTCTCCGAGGCTCGCTTTGAAACAGCAAAGCGGGAGAAGAGCTGCTGAGTGGGGAGGAGAGAGGGACAGAGAGCCTGCTTCTTTAAAGGAGCAAAGCGGGAGAGGAGAGGAGCCGCTTACACGAGTGTAAGCGGCTCCTGTCCAGTTGGTTCCTTTAAAGCAAGCAGGCTCTCTGTCCCTGTCTCCTCCCCACTCAGCTCGCTAAATAGCATTATTAGCAGCATCCTTCTCCACATACCCCATGCGTGCTCCTTGTCCCTTGAGTGCTTTTCCTTCCCTCCCCACTTAAACGTGGTTACAAAGCATGGATCCATATGGATCCTCAGGATTTTTGCATTGGGCTACTCCAAACTCACTGTCAGATCACATGTCTGTGGCCATAGCATGAACCACAAAAATCATACATCCACTGTTTCGTTTAGAATATATTTTTTTTGTTTTCCTCCTCTAAAAAGTATGTGCGTGTTATGGTCGGGTGCGTGTTATAGAGCGAAAAATAAGGTAAATCCTGTTGAATTTGTGAGTAAAGAAGTATAGACCTATGCTGTTAGTTACCTGGTCCTGTACACATTTACTTGGAATTAAATGTCAGTGTGCTCAGTTGGACTTACTCCAAGATAAGTCCCCATAGGATTGCAGCTTTAAATTTATTCTCTATCTGAACATTTGTTTTCTTTCTCTTGGCAGAGCAAAACAGCTCAACAGCTTGTTACACCAATAACACTGGGCTATGTGTCTATCAGAGCAAAGCATGAGAAGCTTCTCATTGGCTGTTTGTGTGGGCTGTGCAGCTCCTGTTCCCCTTTTGTTTTCTTACTGGTGCCAGGCAGTGCAAATAAGCAATTGCTGATATTAGGTCCACCTGCTCAGCAGCTGGGCTGTATTTATTGGTATTTAACACACCCTAGGTAGAAGTGACTGCCACCTCTGCACTGGAGACTTTCAAACAGAGTGTCCAAAAGATCCACCTGTTTAAAATTCATCAGCTCAGCACTGTTTGCTTGGAGTTTGGTTCATTTTGAATTGAATCCTGGAAGCTGCTACAAATGTGAGCTTGCTTCTGAGCTGTCTGTTCTAATGCGTGAAAGCAGCTGGCCAACAGTAGACAAGTGCCAAGAAGGCAGCTTTTTAGGTTTGTGTGGGCAACTGCTGTGGATAAATGAGGTTTGCTCTCATCTCATTGTGTTCAAAGGCTAACTGACTTTATAACTCACAAAATTTCTCCAGAAAATGGGCATATACTCATATACTAAAAGTTGTGTCCTAAGGTAAAGTTGGGAGAATTTTGTGATAATTCAGTAACAAACTTTGAGGCTTAATGGTAAACTGTGGCAACTATTTGCTTCTGCTCTGTGTGCTTTATTTTACGTACCTGCATGAGAGATGTAATTGCTTTGCATAAATTGGTCTCAATTCATCTTTCCTGAAGGTGAACTGTGTCTCTTGTGTATTTTATGTTTAGAGAGTTCTGGGTCTTCCCACAAAGGCCATGGAGAAAAGGTTGGAAGACAATTTCAGCAGCAGCTCTGTGAACATATTGGGATACTTATTTAGAAAAGCTGCCAAGTGCCTGGGCCATCTCCATCTTCTCTACATGTGTGCCTGCCTCAATGCCGCCTGTTCATATGCAGGTAATAGTTCACAATTCTCTTTCTGATAATTTTTTTTAAGATTGTGATGGTTGGGGTTAGCATCAGAGAAGCTGTAGCAGCAAGATTCCTGCACTGAGGAGGGACTAGACTAGAACATGGTGCTTGCGGGGTGTTGCTCAGTCCTATGGAGTCTCTAATGTGGGGTTCATGGGTTCAGTATTATCCCACATGCTTTTAAACATCAGCATTATTATTTCTTTTATGAATTGCTTCCTACGAAGCATCTCAAGGCAATTTCACAATAAAATAAAGATATGTAAAACAATTTTACATATAAAATACCGGTACTTATAAGAATTATATATTTAAAAAAAACAGTTTCTGATACAGCCTGGCATACACCAACCAGTGACTGGCGCCATCCAGAGTTTTGATGTGTGTTGTCATCAGTATGCTGATGTCACACAACGTTTATATCTCAAGTGGGTGTGGTGGTGCATATGCTGGATCAGTGCCTATCCTTTGTAATGGACTGGATGAGAACCAACAAACTGAAGCTTAATTCAGATAAAACACGGGCACTATTGGTACTATTATTTGGACAGATGGAATGCATCATGTTCTAGATGGAGTCACACTTCCCTTGAGGAGCTGGTTCACAGTCTGAGGTACTCTTGGATCCAACATTGTTACTGTTGTCACAACTAGTAACAGTGACAAGTGCTGATTTTGATCTTGCACTGCTCGAGACCTCTATACTTAAAGGACCATCTCTCTCCATATGAACCCTGAGATGAAGCCCTTCTTTGTGTGCTTTCCTCCAAGGGAAACCACTCGAGAGTGGTGATGAGAGAATGGGCCTGTTCTGTAATAGCTTCCCACTTATGGAATTCTCCTACCAGGGAGGCAACCTGGTACCAAATTTGTCTAATTTCAGTGGCAATCAAATCTATTTTCATTTTCCTGTGCATTTGGACAGCAGCAACAATTGGATGTGTTGTTGTTTTTTACTCTGGCTACACTTTTAATTATGTTTATTACTACATTTTGTATTTTGCTCTAAATTACATTGGGACTTTTATTTGTGAGAAGCAATTCATAGATGTAATAAACTAAACTAAAATAACTAAGAACATTTGAAACAGATGAAAGCAGGAAAGTGGAGTGGAGTGGTTTGTTAAGGCCTCTCAAAGAGTAACTTATTTCACAGATTTCTTCTATCTTAATTCCCCACTGCCCCTTGCCGCTTGAAAAGTTATTTAAAAATAAGCCTTCCAGCTGGCAAACTTGTAACATTTACTCTTTTTTCAGAGAATAGAGGGATCACTTATACTGACTCAGTTGCATTTGATCTCAGTGGGTTAGTACTATAGTTAGCAAAATCTCTGCCTTCTGGACAGGGCTGCTGCTGTAATCTCCATAATTATCCTATGCTGTCTCTGACGTTCGGCAATTGGGACATTTGATTAAGCTGATGTGCAGTAAGTGGACCATTAATCTCCAGCTTGTCACACAAAGTTGATTTAAAATTCATGGTTTATTATCTTTTTAGTTGTAGAGAGTAAGTGGTAATCATTACATGTTTTAAGTTAGAATGGATCTGTTTTTTCTTTTTTCTTCTTTTGAGATTAGTTTCCTGTTTCCTGAGCCTACTGGAGTCGTGTTTCAAAAACCACTGGCTTTTTTTGTCTTTTTAACCATAGCTATGATAATTTGTGTGGGTGGGTGGGGGCACTTTGAGGCTTCTATGGTGGAAGGTATTGTGGCCTTGTTTGAATGTAATTCTTTACATTTTGCCAGTGAAATGCCTACTTCAGTGCATTCTGTTCCCACTTTTATACACACAACAAAATGATTCCCAAAGGTTTAGTAGTAGGATGATTTTGGACATTTTTAAAATAACTTACGGAATTGCTTTATTGGAATTTAGAATTATTGTTCCAGCGTACTAAACTGTCACAGTCTGTCTCTTCTTAACTCCCACCTTCATAATGAATATTCACATACTGAAGAATGAAATTCTTCTTTGTTCCATGCAGCTTTCTATTCAGTAGAAAGTGGATATTGTCTAGCTGTTACAATGCTATTTTTAAAAAGCCACCATTGTTTTCAAACAACAATGTAATTGCAAATTGTTGCAGTGAAATTTTCTTTCTTTCTTTCTTTCTTTCTTTCTTTCTTTCTTTCTTTCTGTTACCCTGTCAGAGTTAGTTACAATCTCTTCAGAGAGAAAGATTCGTGAATGTGGCAAAACTGCATTTTCTTAATTGATTGATTTTATTCTAAACTGGAGGCAACATAAGGCTAATATAACGTGCTGTGGTAAATCTGAAGTCAGCAACTGGTTCACTTCTGAGAGCTACATTTGAACATCAAAGATCTGTAACTGACTTCATTATTTTAAGCCTGTAATAAACATAAGGTCAATAGTGTAGGCTACAATCTGTGTTATTGTTGTTGTTGTTTAGTCGTTTAGTCATGTCCGACTCTTCGTGATCCCATGGACCAGAGCACACCAGGCACTCCTGTCTTCCACTGCCTCCCACAGTTTGGTCAGACTCATGTTTGTAGCTTCGAGAACACTGTCCAACCATCTCGTCCTCTGTCACCCCCTTCTCCTTGTGCCCTCCATCTTTCCCAACATCAGGGTCTTTTCCAGGGAGTCTTCTCTTCTCATGAGGTGGCCAAAGTATTGGAGCCTCAGCTTCAGGATCTGTCCTTCCAGTGAGCACTCAGGGCTGATTTCCTTAAGAAGGATAGGTTTGATCTTCTTGCAGTCTGTGTTATTACATGTAATAAAAATAATGCTTAAACAGCGTTTTTATGTGCTCAAAGTACTGCTTATGGTCATATTTACAACAACCTGATAAGGTTAGCCTAGTATTGTATTACTCTAATCCAGGCTTCCTCAACTCGGCCCTCCAAATGTTTTTGGCCTACAACTCCCATGATCCCTAGCTAGCAGGACAAGTGGTCAGGGATGATGGGGACTGTAGTCTCAAAACATCTGGAGGGCCGAGTTTGAGGAAGCCTGCTCTAATCTTACTAATGAGAGGACAACCAGAGAGTTTAAAATGAAGACATCTCAGCCCATGTTCTTAGCTATTATGCTGATAAAAACCTATGGTCAATTTACAATATCTTGGAATTGCTTTCATTGTATGCTGACATTATTTTAGAAATTTCAGAAACCACCTGGGGCATTTTTTGGCTGGGAGAAGCTCCCATTATCTTCGGTGGTATCTTGTCTTCCTGTTCTGAATTGGGACAGCAGTAGGGGGCAAAGAGTTAAAGCCTTACACCAGAGCCTCAATCTGGATCCCCACTCCACAACTGCTATTTGTGAAAGTAAAAATCTTGCATTAGTGCTGCTCCATCATAAGCATCCAAGCAACTTTGACTTTTCTTTGTGTAGAGAAGGCCTGTTTGATGACACTGATATGGGTCCTTAGCAGAGCACGCTTTCCCCCTACACAGTTGCTGTTTAAGCAGTTCAGCTAGCTGTCATGCGGTCACAGTGCTTGTGCAAAAAAACTGCCTGAGCCACTTGTAAGGGTTACGAAACCTTTAATGAGTGTGTGTATTTGGATAAGAAAATAAATACTTTGCAGTTCTTGAGCTGGTGAATTGTTTGCTCTGCTGTTTTAATAGCAGTCATCAGGTTTCTCTGGAAGGACCCACCCTGCAAACTTTTGAGGAAGTACCGTAACTGAGGCACAACTGGGGCATGTCATGTAATTGGTTGATTCTACAGTATTTGTGTTCTACCTTTTTCAAAGCAGTGGTTGTGTCTCTCAGAGTCTAGCATACCCTCTCCATGTTAAAGAAAATTCTTCCTGTTGACTCACAGTGTTGAGAATTCTCTCTACCCCCCCCCCCGAGAAATACAAATCCCCCTTCCTCTTGTGGTGAAATGACTTCCTGGCTGCCTTTCCCCATCTTTTGTTTATCTCCCTTACTCCCTTTGTGCTTATTTTCCTTGGGAATTGAGAGAGGAAGAAGCTGGGTAAATTAGCTATTAAGACAAGTGTCCACATGTTAGGGATTCCCAGTTCAAGCTCCAGAGTTCCTTACACTTTGGATGCTATCCTTGTTTTAAAAATTTAAATGGCAACCTCAAGGGGTAGAAAGGGAACCAGATTAGGATCAGAAGCATGATATGTGGTGACAGTAGCTAATCCTTCATTCCTCCTTCACTATAGTACCAGTGATATCTCCCTCAAAGCTTCAGTTCATGTCAGGAGGGATACCTCTGTTAGCCCCAATGGAGACCTCTTCCAGGGACGTTAGCAGCTTCAGGGAAGCAATTTTCATTAGGGACCATGGCATAGGACAGAAGGTTTCACAACTCACCCACCTCTTGGTAGCATGGATATGGATATTGGAAAATTCCAGTGGAAGTGGAAGTGAAAATAACGAACGTTTGTTAATTTGTCTCATGTTCAGAATAGAAATGAGTTTGGCAAATATTATCAGTATTCACTGTTGTTTCCAGTCCGGAAACAATACATGGATGACATTTTGCCCCCTCTCATTTGCATTGTGTTTCCTTTGCATTGAACTGATTGGCCTTTGCATTGAATTGAATTGAATTGTGTGGAAAAGCATAATAACGTAATTTCGTAAAATTCAGTCACATCAGTCAGCGAGACAAATAACGTTTTGTTGGAAGTTTTTGTCTGTTCTACAGCAGAACAGAAATAGTGCAGCATGCAGAAAACATAGGTTAGAATAGAAATCAGTGCCTCACCCCTAGGCATGGCCTCAATCTCTCAGCCCCAACATGGTTTCTATTTGATATGTAAATACCAGATACATGAAAGGCATTACATATCTTGTGTATGACCTAACTTGGCCCCTAGTTCTCTCTGAGACGGCTTCTTCCCCAGTGTCCCTTAAATCCTTCAGCTCTATAAAAAGCTTAATGATGCTACCCTTGCTGCAAGCATGCGCAAGGCAATTTCTGCTCCTTAATTATGTGGTTTCTTTCCCTTATATGTTTGCCAAAGCTTGGGCATTCTTAAGAAGCACAATGAGAT